TAGTGTCGCATTTAGATAATGAAAAATATTTATAGTCAGTGTGGGTTAGATGTACTCATGGTGAGGCCCTTAGCAGAGGATTAAAGGAAACATGAGACTCCTACATCAGTGATAGAATAGTTAAACTCTAAGTAGGTAGCACTTGATTAAGATCATGCATGTACCTACTGCTTAGTATCATGTCTTTAGCGTGCTTATGTTTATGAGACTCATAATTCTTCTCTAGATTAGTGATTATATTGATGGGCTTTGTAAGTTTAACATTCAGATGTTTTCTGTTCGTAGGTTATTAGCTTAAGTCGTTTGTGGAGCACCGTCCCAGTAGGACTTCCAACATCTTTTCCAGAGTATTGTATTGTTCCTTTATAGGGCATGTGTATTCATAGAATTTTACTTATGTATTTGAGTTGTAAACCTCAAGATGTAATATTTTGATTTAAACTATGTGTCACAGAGCTCCGGTATATAAAATGTTTTTATAATAGTTATTTTTCTTTACTCTTCGTAGCATATAGTGTGTTTTAAAAATGAAAATGAACATGTTTTGAAAATCAAGGGTTGTTTCGATAGGCCAATGTTACACTTTAGGCCCAGCCGAGTTTATGGTGTTACAGTATGGCTATCAAGCGGTTGATTCGCCGCTTTATTTGGGGTATCACTTCGTTGCGGGGTGAGGTGCACTTGGTCAATTGGAATGATATGTGTAAACCCATTTCGGTTGGTGGCTTGGGTTTCCATAAGCTGGATACTCTTAAAAGAGACGCTTTTTGGGTCAGCCTTGTTCGACTGAAATATAAATGTAGAGAAGGGGTGCCCTTGTCCCTGCGGAATTCAAGTTGTTCTCGTCTTTGGAAGGGTCTCAATATCATATGGAATGTTGTTAGTAATAATCTTGTTTGGACTATTGGTTCAGGCACGGATACGAATTTTTGGTATAGCTCTTGGCTTGAAGATATTGATTTGCTTATTGAACAAGTTGATCCTATTTTTTCTTCATCTATTGGAAGGTCAACTATGGCTTCAAAGGTCGATGCTGAGGGAAGATGACAATGGCATTTATTTGATTAAATTCTTCCTCATGATATATTGCTTAGGATCGCTGCTACGAAAGGGCCGGAGTTGCATTTGTCTACTAAGTTAATAGGCTGACGTGGGAACCAAGATCGTATTTTTACTTTAAAATATGCATATATGCTCCGAAGTGGAAGTAATTCTGAGACTCTTAATCCTGTGTGGAACACTATCCATAAGTTTTGAGGATTACCTTGTGTCAAGGCTTGTCTTTGACTTGTCGGTTGTTGAAAGATAATGACTTATGAGGAACGGATTAAGCATCATTTCACTACGGACTCTCGTTGCTTGTTTTGCGGTGCCTTAGTGGAAGATGTGGAGCATATTCTCAAATGGTTTCCTCGGGAGATGCAAGCGTGGACTAATATTATGCAAGCTTCTAAGTTGGATGAGTTCTTAGGTATAGACCTGCACATGTGGATTACTGTGAATTTATGGGGTCGACTAATTTTCCTAATAATGCAGAGTGTTGGGACCTTACTTTTGGATATATCCAAAAGTAAACTTATGGTGGACTTCCACCCGAGCTTTGACGGAGAATCATGTGTTAAACTCCAGATGTGAGGGAACTAACCAAACTCTAATACAATGGAGCCCCCCCTATGTAGCAGTGAACCAAAATAAATATTGACGTGTGGCTAATGGTTATGTTACGTGTGGCGCTGTAACTTGAAATTATACGATGTTTGGTATTTTGGTTTTACGAAATTCATCGGCATATGTACTGTACTCGATGTCTGAGTTATGGGGAGCCTACTATGGTTTAATTTATGCCTGGGAAGCGGGGATTGATCAAATTAACCTTGAGTTAGATAGTCTTGAGGCTATCTGGGTTTTGAAGGATTGTTTTAATGATACTCATTTTCTTAAATGACATTTGGATGAATTCCGTGGTCGTGACCGGACGATGCGTATTCAACACACTATGAGGGAAGGAAATAAAGTGGCTGACGCTTTGGCTAAAAACGTTAGGACTGATAATATTAGATTGTGTTTCATGTTGTTCCACCGGGTTGGATCGAACACTTATTATCTGAGGATGTTTTACACAATTGATATTGTCTTTGATATTAGAGTAGATACTCTTTTCCTTCGTCTAGGAGTAAGGAGTTTTTAACGATGCTCATTCTAATATCCCTTTGTACCATCTTTAATCATACATTTCACCAAAAAATTAATTATAAAATTATGATTGATTTAAAAAGTATAAAATACTATTTGATTAAATTTTGGTTGCATCGATGATGTAATATAATATTTTTTATCCATCAAATGTTTTAGGTTGGTTTGTGGTGTTAACATTTTCTTTTATTGAGGGTTTAGTCGAATTAAGTGAAAAATTCTGAGTAAATAAAGTTGATGTAACCTATTTTATTATCTTAAATTATAAAAAATGAATTGAATTGAGTGTAACAAAATTCTAGTAAGTTGACTTAAATAAATTTATTTGAGTTAAAAATAAAAAAATCAAATTAAACTTTATTGACATTACGACTAAATTCCAAGCTAAAGCATGTAAATTTGATAATATATTTGTCAAAACAAGATACATTCATATGATAAACTTGGTTTAATAATTTATTTGTTTAAGGTCTCAAGTTTATCATTTTAAAAATATTTTTTTATAATTTAACATTTTTTTATAACTTTTTAAATACTTTTATATTTTTTAAAATTTATTTTATATTAAAATTTGGAAATTTTTTATTCAAAATTTTAAGATTTATACGTAATTTTTAGAGTGACCAATTTGCATATTTTTAAAATTGACAATGATCTAAGTATGTTTATACCAATTTATTATTTGTTATTTGATTTACTCAAATTATCAATACATTTAATTTAATATTTAAAGTGTTATTTTTTTCTATTTTTTTGGAGTAAAATAATATTTTTCTTTCCCCTAATTGGGAGTACAATTTGTATTATGATTGCACTCTACTATTGAGGAAACTAAATGGGATAAAATCCCTAAAAGTAGCTTAATTGAAATTTAGGTCTTCTTACCGTTTAAATGCTATTAAAAATAATCCTCATTTCTTAAATTTTTACCTTAAATATTATCTAAGCCCCTGAACTATTTGGTAGGCCTGTAAATAAACTGAACGTTCAGCGAACCGTTCGTGAACCGTGCGACGAGAAGTTCGTTTATGTGCGTTTATTTATTAAATGAATGAACATGAACAATATTTTTTGTTCGTTTAATTAAATGAACGAACATGAACATAGGTCTCGTTCGTTCATTTACGTTCGTGAACGTTCGATTATGTTCGTTCGGTTATGTTTGTTTATGTTCGTTCGATTATGTTCGTTTATGTTCATTCATTTATGTTTAACTCAATCTTTTTAAATCAATTTTGGTGACCAATTTGTAAGTATCTTAAAAATATTAATTAATCTGATATTCTGATGACCAACTCCATAATTAACCCAATTTTATTTGGAGATTAAATCCAATATGTTAACATGTGAGGCACATCGCACCTATATTCATTTCCCTTTTTTCCCCAAACCCTAGTGTTCACTAGAGAGTGGAGACGATCGCTGAAAGCTTCAAAACAAGTTATATTATAGTGCAATATGAAGATTTACAGGTCTGTTTTCATATATTTCTCTGTTTTATTTGGCTTAATAGTTGATATGTAAAGTTATTGTAGGTATCTTCACATCTAAAACTCAAGAAAACATCATACTTCTTTCTAGAAATAGATGGGAAGATAAAGGTAACAATCGGAAGTATATGAGCATCAATAAAGAGAAAAATATATAGAATTTGCCAGAAAACAAAACAAATGTTTCTATGCAATTTCTGAAAAGAGTGTAATAGCGAAAAATGATTGTTCATATGTAATCATGGACCACTAAGATAAATGTTATAGTGTTAAATTAAAGTTGTGTGAATAATTTAATATCTTTAAAAGATCGATCAAAATATTTGATATCTTCAAACATTTCATCACTGCTAATAAACTCTTACGCTATTTATCACTGTAGATTTGGTTATTTGCATTGTCGACTATTTTTCATGAAAGAACAATGGAAGGTAGGGTCTCCAACGTTTATGTTCGTTTATGTTCGTGTTCATTTATGTTCGTGTTCGTTTATGTTCGTGTTCGTTTATGTTCGTTTATTTATTAAATGAACGAACATGAACATATTATATTCCTTAATAAACGAACATGAACAAAAAAAAATTTGTTCGTTTATGTTCGTGTTCGTTTATGTTCGTCTATTTATTAAATGAACGAACATGAACATACCTCCGTTCGTGTGCGTTCGGTTCGTTTACAGGCTACTATTTGGTTTTATCGTATTCATGTCCCTTCATTTTGTATTTTTAGTAATCTTATGTTCTGTAAAAAGTAGACAGTGAAGACAAGGCTATACAGTAAATTAATGCTCCCCACATGGATATTTAATGCCATTAATATTCTAGAAAAATATTTCTTTTCTTTTTAGAAAAAACTTTTATTGAAGACCTAACTACCACGTGAACAGTCATTAAAATTAGGAGAAACTTGGGAAATATATATTTTTAAATAGAATTTTAAAAAAATTAAATATTTAAATGTAACGACATTATTTAAAACGGAAAATGTAATTATAAGTTTTTTATTAGCACATAAGGTAAGCAAATTCAATTTAAAATATAAAGAGAAGAAAAAAAAATAACCTTACCAACGATTAATTTGTCTGATAAGAAGAGACACAATATTAATTTTATCGAAGGTTAGATGTTTAAATTCTATTGTTTGTAAATAAAGTAAATTGAATTGAGTATGTCAACGAACTTCTAAGAAACCTGATATGAAATAATTAAAAATGAATTATATAACTATGCTATTACTTAATAAATTTTTATTAAAATGTTTACACAAATTACATAAACATCACAACTCCTTATTGCTTTATACTATTTCTTTTTCAAAATAGCGTGCATTGGATTTTGATGAGTTTGAACAAACTGTTCACTGATGAAATTTTGACACAAGAATCATACAACTGAAATACACCAAAATCAGAATCAAAAGATGAAAAATCCACAAATTAAGAACATTTGAAAGTCAAAGGCGTCGATTAAAGTAATTACCAGTACCTTGACCTGAACCTTGGCTAACCATGGCGAGCAACGCTTTCTTCACGTTTATCATCGACTGACATCCTTCAAACCCATTCAGATTCCTGGGTTTAGTCCCAAAACACAATGTCGAAGTCGGTGATCCAAGCCCTCCATGATTATCATCGTCATCCATGAAGTCATGAACCGGCGACCTCGAACATGAAAAATACCTCATTTTTCGGTTCAATGAAGTCTTGGACAATGGTGAAGAACCAGAATCGTGCAGCGATGAACATGACGAAAAAGAAGAAGAAGACGATGTAGAGGACCGTGAAGAAGAAGGGGCCTGTGTTTTCCTTAGCCTGGGAAAGATAGAGCTCAAAAGGGTGGGCTTCAAGCCTTTTTTGTGCTTGGATTTTGAGTTGAAAGAGGAATAATAGGAAGGCGGTGGTGTGAGAGGAGGAATGGAAGTGTCGGAGGAAGGATGTTTGGGGGTTCCAGGGTGAGATTCCCAGATGAAGGGGACAGCACCAGAAGCTCCGCCGTAGTAGACCCTGCAAGAAGAGTTGGCCATTGAAGTTTCTTTAGACATGAGCCTGCTAAAGAACTTATCATCTTGTTTGATTTGGAGACCTTTCTGATGACGATGGAGCTCGTCTCCATTACTGTCGCTCAACATTTTTGATTTCGGCAAACTGATGTGGGTGTCTTTGTCAGACAGCTTATTAGATCTCTGATTTGTAAAGAAGGCTCAAGATCCGAAGTCGAAGACTGGAAAAAGACCAGAATAGAATATTTCAAGGCCGAATGATTTCGGTAAGTGTACTTTTAGTGCTATATTATTAAGGCTCAACCCATTTTTTTATTCATCACTCAACTGTTTAAAATATAAGTTTATTTATAGTTATTTATTTTAATAATATTATCTCTGATTTAAATTATTTTAATTAAAAACTTATGATAGACAAGATGGTTTTTTTTTATCATTTTTTTCTCCTTTCGTTTACTTTTATCTCATAATTCTTCTTCGTCTCTTTACTAACGCTACTGACTAATTGTTGTATAATCATTGACGCGGCTTTCGACTCAACTCAAATTAGGAAGGATAAATTGTAAACCATAATTATAATAAAATTATTCTCATCAATAATTGAAGTGATGAGCGTGACCAATTTCGACCTTAAAGAATCGATCATGATGAATCCCCTAAGAGCCATCTTAGGTAAAGGTGTTTAAAATTGGGTACCCGCATTGTCAGGAACACAAAATATAAGGCATCTAAGATTTCCGGATATTAAAATATTGACACGTGTCTCGACTCGTTAAGTTCGAGTACCTGCAAGTCGGGCACCTATAAAATATGGGTACTCATATTTTCGGGTTATAGATATCCGTTCATATATTTTTTTCTCTTTAAATTATTTTATTTTATAAAAAAGTTACATAAGAAAATTATAAAATATAAAAATCTATAATATATAATCCATGCATAATATTTAAAAATTCAAATTACATAATTAAAATATCAAACTTATTAAAAATTAAACTAAAGAAATATAATTAACTTTAAAATATTTGATGTCAAAAGAAATAATTTAGATTGTTAGGGCAAAATAATTTAATATATTAATAATTTAGAATGTTATGATAAAATAATTTAAAAAACTAAAATTTAGAATGTTACGATGAAATAATTTGGGAATTAGGAATAAAAAATTCATATAAAATAAAAATAAAAAATATAAAAAATTGGGTATCAAGTCAGCGGGTACTCAGTTAAAGGATATTTTCTTTGTTCCGTATATAACTTAAAAACTCGAGAAAAATAGAGGACTGAGTACTCGATCTGAAAAGTCATATATTTCATTATAAAAACTTGATATTTTTTTAATTGGGTCAATAGGTAAATTATGTTTTAACATCCCAAATCCCATGAAAAACAGCTTAACATGTCTACTCTCAAAACTTGTATGAAGCACCTGATTCCTTTAGTCAGCTATAGAAAAATATGTATGACCCAACATATTACGGATCATACCAAATATATTATAACGCTTATGACCAATCTGACCATCCTTTTCCCAAGCACCTCATACAAGTCCAAGGTCCGCAAGTTGAGCTGAAAACCCTACAAGCATATTTTCAAGCTTTCGAGGAGGCTCACTTACAACTGCAAAAATAATATTAACAACAACAAGAGTTAATATAAAAAATCTTTAAGAGTTGTTAATCTCCCAACAGTAGAGAAGCGAAAGTCGATGAAAGAAAAACAAATGACTTTCTATGCTAAATAGAAACACCATGAAGAGTAGGTAACTTCTCATCTAAACACCTCTAATAATATTATCTCTCTCTCATTAGATGACCATAAAAGGTACAACATTAAATATGTGCCCTAACCTGTAACCCCCACAGACCGATAAGGGTAACCAGATCCGATCCGGGGTGTCACATTTGGGCCACCGGAGCGACCCACTGTAAAAATAACGGAAAATTTAAAACCTTTTATCAGAACATGTAAATTCATAAAATCATTTGCCACTACAAAATAAAAGTTATCACTATTTAAAACTAAAACAGATTTTCAGACTCGTATATAAATTAAAATACAATTTCATGCCCCCTTAATCACATGTACCATACTCTGCAACAACGCCGGAAGAACTCCCTTATTGAAGTCGATAGATGCACTGGTACAATTCTTATAACCTGAAAAGGTGAGTAATAGAGTGAGCTTCGAAAAGCTCAGTAATACATAACTACCAGATGATGCTGAAGAACGTGCATATACAGATAAACATACATATCCTTATTATTTCCAAACATTTACAGATTTTTATGCTGAGTAGAGATCCTACTGATATTTCAGATGGTAACGGACAATGAGCTTTCAGTTCAGACAAATATTTCGGATGACTGAGTTCAGAAGATCAGAATAGGTTATCTAGTGTGTTCCCAAAAACCATATAACTTTTCAGATCTTTTTAAAACATATATATATATATACCCCCATCCCTACACATCATAATGTGTAGGTTCCCCAGAACCATAAACCCAACCCAACACATCATATAAGGCCCTGAGCACAAAGCCGCGGAACCTGCGAAACTTCTTCCTTCAACAATACCCCCCAATTAAAACATTTTCCGTCCGTAAACAGATATATCAAAAATCAAAACATAAATCAGGTCAAGTATCATATCAGAAATCAGGTCAAGTAACAGATCAGAATCCAAGTCAAGTATCAGATCAGAATCCATGTCAGATATCAGATCAGAATCCATGTCAAGTATCAGATCAGAATTCGAATCGAAAATCAGATAAAATATTCATGTGAGTAGGGAACACACCAGAGTTTATAGACATTATTTAGAGGGACTAGATAATCTTATAAGGCAGAGAAACACGGATCTTCAGTTTACCGATAGAATGTCGGTATTTAGGATCACTATAGGAATATTTCAATAACTATCAGAATCATCAGTTATTCAGAATGTGAATTATCAGGATCATATCTTATTCGGACAGTTTTCAGAAGTTGTACGTAATCAGAAGGGTATTCAGGATCTTTTACATCCATATCAATTGAGTGGATAATCGAACAACTTAACAACGAAGATTCAGAACCTTAACAATCTATGTCGATTGATCGCATTATCGAACAACTCTTAGATGAATAGTTCCCAGAACTAATACTTATCGACTGGTCATTTCGTGTCCTTCTAGGGTATTTACACTTTAATACCAAAAATTCTTATTCATAGATCATCTTCGGAATCATCACTGAATAGATCTTCCAATTTCTTTATTTCATTTTTACGCTTCCACTATATCATGAAATACTGACGTGTTTGATTTGTAGTTCATGATCCAGAAGAACAATACATCGTGTATGTTCATTAACGTTTCCAGACTCATCCAAATCACTTATTAAAATCTTAGTCATTGAGGCTACTTATTTCACTTAGTAGTCAAATCCATTCCAATTATTTCAGAGTTTTCCAGATTAATTTGGACGTCTCTAAATTTCAGATACATATTGTACTTCTGTTCAGTTCGGTCTTCGTGGTTGATTTGTCGGGCAAATATCCAATTCTTAGTGCTTAACGCGATCTAGAGTTAAGCTGAGCTGAATACTTCCAAAATTATCATCGAGCCAAACTTGAGAAGACAAACACGCATTCAAGTAATATTTATGCCGTTCAGGTACTGACATATCATTAAGGTTGATCAGCTCACTTAAGTTGTGTTCCATAACTTTTAAAGGTAGTCCAACACCTATTCTTATTTGGATTCCTTAATTAATCCAAGAAATTTACTTAGAATAGGACACAAGGGTATTTTGGTAATTTTGGTATTCATTTTTATCCCATTTATTTCAGAGCTCGAAAATATCCAATTATTCTTGAGCTTGGTGGTATTCTTGGATCATTTCCATTACAGGGGTATTTTGGTCATTTTACAGATCTACGATATTTCAATATTTTCCTGCCATCCGGTTTTATTATTTAATTCAATCTTATCATTTACTTCAGTCATTTCGAACAATTCTGACAGCAGAATACCCCCGATAAATTATTCTTCAAGTATTTACTCATTATTCGAATATTTACGGGTCAAGTGTCTTCTCAGATTTTACAAACGGAATATCCGGAATTTTCCTGCACTAAGTCAGGATCTTAACAATTAAATCCGTACTTAATCGAGTTAAGTACGAATCCCCTAAGTATTTTCTCATTCAGAGTCAACTCAGACTATTCTACCTCTTAAGGGCATTTCCGTAATTTCTTAACCAGATAATTTCGATATTAGCTCTTAACGAAAATAATATAATTTAGAGATCCTATGATTAATTACTTTCTTGAATACTCTCTGATCTTGAAACATTTCTCTTAACAAACTTCTAGTATCCTTCACAAACTCTCATATGATTAAAATCGGTTATCCATAATTTCCAAATAAAACTAACATTCCTTATGCACATCAATATTTTTATCAGATCAATATGTCTGTAAAATCCTCTTATCTAACTTCCATATTCAAATCTTGTCTTTTTATAACATAAGGGTATTTTCGTAATTTTACCATACCGGTGTATTCTCATAATTTCTCATCCAAGTACCTTTAACATTTAACCTTTGATGAAATAAATTATAAGTTGCAGATACAGGGCTGATTTCTTTATCACTAATCACAACCTTGTAATTTAATCTAACAATTCCTTAATTCTTTATAATAGTCATTCGATCCGTAATTAGTTACAGAATTTCTATCACATTATATCGAGTGTATAAATTATTCAACTCCACCAAAGTGACCAACATTATCTTGTTCATGCATTTATCAATATAAACATGTTCCATAAAGCATAAAGAGGTAGTAAAGTATTACCTCGATTTTCGTGCAATACTGATCGACCATAAAAATTCCATTCGAATGCCTTTGATCTTCAATTCAACTTCCAATAATTCCTCAGATACATATCAACATAAATTATATAAAAAACGAAGCTTAATTACGATAAACGGATCGAATCGGGTGATAAATCAGTGAAAAACAACTTACCGGGTTCGAATTTGGTGAAACGGACTTTGGATTCGGATTCAGGACGTCAAAAGCATAAAATATGACTTTTCGGAAATTTGGAATTTTCGGTCAAAATCAAAGTCAACGGGTTTGACTGGCAATTTTGAGGCCTTTGGGTTCG